AATACGCCGACTGTGATTTGACACCAAGCATCCATCTAACTGGTGAATTTTGTGCAAAAATGTATTTTCCATGACAGCTATGGTGGCCATGTTGAAAAATAAAAGAATTATCAGTAAATATGATTTCTGTGGGTCGGTCCAGTTATGCATGATTTGACACCAAAGTATGAATCATAAACATTTTAAACTTTAGATAGAGATTTTCCTTTGTGACCATGGCGTCCATCTTGAGTCATCTACTGCAGAGCTTCTGAACCTGATGGTGGCCCATCCAGTCAGGGTGCCAGGCCCCCAGCGTCACATATCCTCCACCATGCCTGGTAATGGACACGAGTTTCCTCATTTCAGAGCGTTTGCTGCTCAGAAGCTCGGTGCGAGTCCAGTCTGACCAGTAAGAGTCCAGTTCTGCTTGGACAAATGGTTCATGTTGGCAGGACTTCAACTCCTCTGAGGTTTGGGGTCAGAGTTCAGGTGTCATGTGTGATGCTCATCAGCTGCTCCTGGTTGTGAAAACAATACCTTGTTGCCACGGTTACACATCAAAGCTGTCCAAGAGTAACAAGGTGAGCAGGACAGCGGTCGTCTCCGCGTCATTATGAGACATTTTTAATGACGTTCTCTGAGCTTTGGGGATTATTTTCATTTCTAACCGTTTAGAGGACAACATGCTGCTGCAGAGAGACAGGTTGCCGTGTCACGTCATATTTCTTCCCCACAGAAACAGGAAGGTCTACAAGTGAGCAGTTTCTAAAAACACTCATATCCACTTAAAGGAAGGTAGAAAGTTAAACTGGTTTAGTTTTATGTTTTTATTATTAGTTGTACCAATAATTGTTATGAGACTTTAATGTTTGAACATGGGATTTTAATGAATTAATAAAAGCATTGTTTCCATTTTTACTTTCCTATTTAAGACTCAAAGTGTCTTCAGACAGGAAATCAATGTGATGACGAAGCTGAAAAAGGAGAATTAAATCGAGTCGGTTCTGACACACCATAAAAACATTAATTAATTCAAATCAATGCTTTATTGACTTGAATTAATTAATTAATACTCAGAATATTCAGAATTAATACTTTGAAGTTTATTAAACTTCAGGGTATTAATGAGTCTATAATAAATGAATGAGTGATTATATGATGGTAAAGCAGGAACCATTCTTGGAGGTTTTTCACTTCTGACCATCAGATTTATTACTGAAATGATCAACTAATTTAGTAATCAATAAATTGCTAACTGGAGTGTACAGACTCAAAAACGCAATCTGCTGAAAAATTTAATTTATTCAGAGCAATAATTAAGCCAAAAATATCCAAAAAATATATATTTTGCATTTCAGATGAAAAATGTACCCTTTTTAAATTCTTTAACAGATTTTAGATGTTAAATTTATCCAGATTTGATAATCAATTTTCAACACATTACCAAATCTGTTACCTGTTGGTGTTTATCTTTACTAGAGGAAATTTATGTTTTTATTTAGTATTAGAAAAATCTGCTGCCTTCTCTGTCAGTGACCCAGTCACTTCCTTGTAGAGCTTCCTGTAAGGCCCGTTCAGCTTCTGAAGCTTTTCGGAATAAAGTGCCGCTCTGGTGACTCACCTGTAACCTGTCAGCTCAGGTAAACTCACCGTTTCAGTTTTACTGACAACTGTTACCTTCGGCCTACAGTAACGTACTCTGAAGTTAGCGTCTGATTTTACTCCATCAGGAAGCTGGATGATGAACTAAAATCTAAAACACTAAAAATTATCAAACCTTAATTCATCACTCAGCCTTAAAAACACCAATTCAAGCTGATCTGATGTTTTTAGGTTAGTTCAGATCAATTTCAGGGTTTTAAACCACGAGTTTCAAATGGATCATTTATCGTGAAAAATCTATTAAAATCATAAGAATTTTGATCAGTTCTAGTTTGGTGATGTTTAAAAAACTGACAACATTGTTGAATTTTTTTTAACCATTTTCTACATCGTTTTGTTCATGAGCGTTTAAAAAAAGATACCAGTAAATTCGAAGTATGATTAAATGCAGTTTGTGTGCAGCTAAATGAGACCAGTCACAGATCTCTGGCGCCCTGAAGAAGTTTATTTCACATGGAAATGTTTTACAGGAGCAGTGTTTATGTTTATGGAGCCATTACGCTGTAATGAAACATCACAAATCTTCAGTAAAATCTCTGAATATGGTAAAGACTATATATTATTTCTGAAAGTAGCGTATTCTAAAATATATACACTACTGTATATACCAAGTGTGACTTTCATAAGTTTATATTGGAAGAATGAATATGAAAAAGTGTTTCTTCTCATTAAAATCTGTTTTGTAATTATATTATTTGTTTGTATTCATTTATTTTAGTTGCTTTTCTTTACCAATTACTTTTTAAAATCTTGAGTAATTTCTTGGACAGGCTAGTTTTTAACTTTTGAGTAAAAACACATATACGTACTGCTACTATAACTGGATTACAGTGTATATTCACCACTAGCCAAGCCTGGATTAAACATTGTTTTTTAAATTACGAAAAGCACAATTTCAACACTATGGTCATTTGTTTACTTATTTTAGAGAAAGAATAAAGACAAATGAATCATGAATTGGGTTTCGAAGTGTAGAATTATGCACCCCGGTTTGATCCGTCCAAGTATTTCAGATTTTAGCTGATTAAAGGCAGCTTAAATATGCGGAACAGCCCTTTACTGAAGCAGCGATTCAGAAGCCAACTTCGGCGCTCTCTGGACCGATCTCCGCCTCTCTGACCGAACCAGAACTGGACAGTTCGGGATATAAACAGTTCTGATATCTAGACTGGGTGTAAACAAGACAAAAACATGAACTAGACATTTCCATCCAGAGCGCCAATTCTGTACTAATTCCTTATTCTGCTGAACTGCAAGCCAAAACGAACCACATGCAGCGCATTTTATGAAGACACAAGTAAAAACGTGAGTCTAAAGCCCAGCGAACCCGTCCAGAACCACCTGGCGGTTCCGTTTCAGCTCCACAGCTTTTAAGTCTCTCCAACATCGTTAGCAATAGGGCTAGCCACTAGCCTGCTAACGAAGCAGGCCGCGCCTACTGGCTTCTCCCGTTCTTCCCACACACAACGAGCTCCATTACTGAAAGCGGCCTACCGTAAAACTCCTGGTACGGCAGGAGGTCTCATCCTGGCTCCAGTCAACCAGCAGCAGCCGCCCTTCTGTCGGACTCCACACCTAGCATCCTCTGTTCACTATTTACACGGCTGTACGCCACTGAGCGTTTCTTCCTGTTCTTACCCGAGCTGTCACACAACTGGCCAATCAAGAAAAAGTAGCCGTTCAGAAGTTAACCAATCAAATACAAGCTTGGTTAAATCCACGCTCACTTCGGATTTTCTACCTATTAACGCGATCGTTTTTGGACGATGGGATTAAAGGAAGGTTGTTTTGATATTTAACCTCAAAGAAACGTGATTTAAAGAGTAAACACTGGAGATTTTTCATTTAATCTACAAAGTGAAGAAATTCATTTACAGACAAGTTGACCTTATTCCAGAAAATTCTTCTTTTATAAAGGTTTTGACTTGAACATATTCAGAAAATTTTGGTTTTTATTTTTCAGATTTTGACCTTATGATAAATATTAGACTTATTAATATTCCACACATTTAATGTTTGTGAGACATTACACCTTTAACTAAAGTTTAACTTAATCAGGATGTTTTTAGTTTTTTTGAATGTTAATTTAATTTTCTTCTTAGCATTTTGACTTTATTTCAAACATAACATTTTGTAAACTGATTATTTTATTCCAGAAATATATTTATTTTTAAAATCCTAACTGTACAAAACTATTGTAAACATTTTAAACTCATTCTAGATAATTTCATCATCTTCTAAATAACTAAAGTAACTTTAGTTATTTAGCATAGCTTGTTCCAGAGTCGTGCAAAGTCCCCTTTGGAGGGGAACAACAGTTCCCCTCCAAAACAGGTGGTGGCAGCAGTGATACCAATATACTCCTGTATTCATTATATAGCAAGTATTTTCTGTCTTTAGTGATTTATTTTTGAAAATATGGATGTTGTGCTCTGAAGTGCCTCAGAGTTTTTTCTCTCTGCTGTCGCTCCATGCATGCTGAGAATGAGGGATTGTCCTCTGTCGCTCCCTGCTGGTCCAGGAGAATGCTGCAGCGACTCGACCCTCTGCTGGTTTTCCTTAGAGATAAACTTTTTAAACTAATCTGAATCACAACCTGAACTTAGTGCTTTAATTAATAAGTGTTTTCTCTGTACCAGGCTGAGGCTGCTGTCCCCCGAGGAAGTTTAAATTCTCCTAAATGCATTTGGGCGCTATCTTTGGGCTGTCCATCTGCAGGAGGACTTAGAGCTGGTGTTTGTTAAACTTGTAAGCAGCAAAGTTGTCCTTCAGACCCGGCCAGCTCCCTGACGGACAGACGGATGTCCAGCTCTGAGCAACGCTAACAGCATTAGCAGCTTTCTGCCTGCTGAACTCCTGAAGGACGTCGCTGCTGCAGACTTTCTATATAATTAGCAGCTCGTCTTAGTTTAAATATGCAGCACTGAAGGATCTCAGAGGAAATGTAATTATACTCAAGCTGTTATGGAAGGTGAGGCGCTTTTAACGCGGCTCTTTAGGGACACCGGGTTCATATTCTGCCATCTTTAATCCTCAGACAATCCTGATTCATGCAAATATTCCTGACCGCCAGGGATGATGGGAAATCTGCAGTTTCATTACTGATGAGTTTTATGTTTTAACCTCTAACTGGAATTCTACATTCAGAGATTCTTGTTCTGTGTGGAAACCACAACCAGTGAGGACTGAACTGGAGAAAAGTTAAAAAATTAAATGACTGAAAGGCTGGTTGGTTGGATGTATGGATTCAGTTCAGCTACAAAGGAAGGAAACAGTTCAGATGTTTTAACTTTTATTTCTGAAACGTTTCTAGCTGATGTGCAGAAAACAGAAACAGTTGAGAAAAAGATCGAAAAATAAAACTACATAAAACAGCCAATCAAAGAAAGGCAGAGAACCCCGACAGCCAATCAAAGAAAGGCAGAGAACCCTGACAGCCAATCAGACAAAGGCAGAACAGAGCGTGAAGCTTTACATCTCAGCAGATTTGCTGATTTATCTTCTATAAACTTTAAATTTTTGGCTCAGAGTTGAGCCGGAGTTTAATAACTCGTCATAATTTAAATTATTCATGATTATAAAATATTAAAAAGCTCCAGTTGTCTCACAACTTCAGCACATTTAAAATAAATATCAGTTTAAATCCAAGTTATCAGACTGAGTTCTGGTTCCTGGAGACAAAGGAAGTCAACAATTTCAGTCAGGACCAGTGGTCCGAAAAGTGGACCAGAACCCGGTCCGACCCAGTTAAATCTGGTTCCGCACCCAGTCCGACCCGGTTAAATCTGGTTCTGAACCCAGTTCGACCCGGTGGGGTCAGAAGCTCATGAGCACGTCTCTCTCCTGCATGCTGGTGTAGAACGGCTTCCCGAACACGAAGGAGTGAAGCCCCGCCCTCAGTTTCTCGGCCATCGCCATGACAATGTTCAGGTCCCCCTCGGCCTTCAGGTCCAGGTCCGCCTTCAGGTTCCGGAGGGCCCGGAACGGCTTCTTCCCTTTCTGCCTGTGAACAGAGGCCAGCTCGGTTTGATCAGCTTAATATATATTCAATAACTAAAGATCAATAATTTCTACTGGTGACAAATTCATGTTTGTTTCTGATCCGTTTGTCCTGATTTAAAACCAAAAGGTTTTTATTTACGACTTCAGATGCTGGGGAACAAATCTGGATTGGGTCGCAAAAACATCAGCCTAAGGGCCAAAAAATGGCCCACGAGCCGCACTTTGGACCCCTGGTCAGAGGTGATACACCCCACCAGGTTCACAGGTCATCGTCCTGCCGGGTTTCAGGCGTGCCCACAGCATGATGCTGCCCCCACCGTGCGGCCCCTTACGTCTCGTCCTCGATGTACTTGAGCAGCGTGAGCGCCTTGCGGTGCAGCAGCAGCAGGAACTGGGCCAGGTAGGCGCTCCTGAGGGCCAGGCCGGGCTTCAGCAGGAACACCTGGAGGAAAGCCGCAGCAGCACCTCAATTATTCAGTTCAACACATCAAACCGTTTCTGTTTGCTTGGCAGCAGCTTCTGCTTCCTGCCCTTCACAACAGGTCAGGCCAGTGTTGCCATGGCGATTAGAGCAGGCAATAAAATTACCTTTACCGGGTAAGCTAACTACCACTAAGCTAAATGCCACCTAGCTAAATACCGGGTTAGTTGGTTTTCTGGAGGAAACATGGTTTCTGACTCCTGCAGGTTAAATTTATTTTATCAACTACAGTTAATTTCAATCAATTAATAGTAATATATGTCACAATAGAAATGTGATTACGTCTATTGTGACAGTGGAGCAATTGGCAGCACTGTTGCTTTGCAGCAAGGCGTTAGCATGGCGTTAGCATGTTCCCCTTGTGTATGGTGGATTCTTCCTCCCACAGTCCAAAAACATGACTGTCAGGTTTATTGGTCTCTCTAAATTTTTCTTAGGTGTGAGTGTGTGTGCATGGTTGTTTGTCCTGTCTGTCTCTGTGTTGCCCTGGTGATGGACTGGTGACCTGTCCAGGTGTCCCCGCCTCTCACCTGTTGACAGCGGGAGACAAGCACCACTTCTGACCCCAATGGGAAAAGGCCGGAAGAACATGGATGGACGTGTGATCAGTATCAATAGATAGTAAATCTGATACAATATTCAATATATAAAATATATATCCAATCCAGAATCCAGAACCGCACAGCATTCTGGGAGATGTAGGCAGAGGAAAGAACCGCTCAACCTCTCATAGCAAGATAAGGTAGGTTGGTGGAATCAACCAACTCACTCACTCTTTGGTTTCCTAGCAACAGCCTGCTGACTAACTTGCAGCAGCAGTTTCGTGTTTCTCCATCGTGCTTCATAACTCCTCAATAAAAATGATGGCGTGGAATGAAAACTGTGGCTATACTTCAGATATTTAAAAGAAAAGACTAATCAATAATTATGGATATCAACCGTTAGAAAAAGTTTATGTTTTTCAGCTAAACCCTCCAGTCTGAGAATTACAGGGTTAAACTTCTCACCTCGTCTATGAAGGATCTGACCAACGTGTCGGTATGCAGGACATCCTGGAAGATGTTCCTGGGAAATGAAGGAGGAACATCTCATTGGCTGCCTATCAAATAAACACCCGGGGGCGGGGCTTAGGGTGAGCTTACAGGTCCGGGGTGAAGGTTTCGTCTGTGTAGATCACGGTTTCCGGCGGGATGTCGTCCTCGCTGTCGGTCTTCCACAGCGCGTTGAGCTCAGAGCGCATGTAGCGCCGCTGGTTGAAGGTGTGTTCGTGGCACGGCGGCATCTGCTTCACGGTGTTGATGTCCACGTCGATGTGCGTGGTCGGGTACGGCGCATACAGCACCTGGCGGAACGGCAGCACGAAGCTGCCGGTGGAGTCCTGGAAGCAGAGAGCGGCAGCGTCAGACAGCGGGTCAAAGCGGACCCGCAGAACCACGCGGCGCCGGCAGATACCTTCAGGAGTCCCTGGACGAACAGACCCGTGTCGTACTTGAAGGAGGAGCTGGCCCGGCAGAGGCGGGAACACTTCCTCTCAGCTGGAGTCAAGAACAGGCAGAGCGTCCGGACGATCTGGCGACACACGAGCAGAACCTCAGAAAACTGGAGGAATATCCACTCAGAGGTTTTTAAGTCTCCAGATCCATCCAGAACCACCTGGGTCCAGTTTGGCTCGGCTGCTAGGATATGTGCTAGCATCAGCAGAACAACGTTTCACACTGTCAGCGTTCTCATTTTTGCTGTTTGGAGCCATTAAAGCAGCTGATTAGCTCAGAATAAACTTTCATATTCAGAGGGACAAACTGCAGCATGAGCTTCTCATCAGGTTTACACAGCACTGCTAACTAAAAAGCTAGCTGTGCTATGCTAAGGCACCAGTCATACATAATACTTCTACTAATGTGATACACTTACACTGTGAAAGCTAGCAATAAAGCGCTATACCAAAATAGCATTTGGTGGAGGCTAACCCTAAAGTATTTTACCAACATAGTATTTTGTGTAAGCTACAACTGAAGGGCTATTCTAAGATGGTGTTTAGCAGAAGCTAACACTAAAGCGCTATACTAACATAGCATTTCACAAAAGCTAATGCCAAAGCACTCGATAACATGATAGTTAGCAAAGGCTAGTGCTATTCTAAAATTATGTTTAGCAGAAGCTAGCAGTAAGGTCCCACACTAACATGGTATTTAAATTAGCTGTGTTGTTAGCAGGTTAGTAGGGGTGAGCCCGGTGCTGTGGTTGGTTCCAGTAAACCCACCTTGTTTACTTTCTCTGGGTTGCTTCCGACCACGACGGAACAGCCGCATGTCTGCAGATGGGAGCTGATGGCTCTGGAAAACAAATGCTTAAAAATTAGAGCCAGTTAGTATCCAATTAGCTCTGCTGATCAAATGAACCATTCTACAGTCCTAACTGCAGTCAGTGAGTCTGGGGATCTGGACGTACGGAGCAAAGGAACAAGTCATCTCAGGCTGGTCTCCTATGGTCACATATTTGGTCTTGTCCTGCTGTTAATGCCAGTCTGGAGCTAAAAGACGCTTTGAAATGACTTTTTAAATCATCACAGGAGGCCGAGCCCACAAATCCTCTCAGCTGTGCCCATTTAAAGCTGTAAAGCTGCCCTCCTGCTCACTAGCGGGTGAATCCTCCGTCTCGGTTTCTCTGGGGAGAAGCCGAGGTAGGAAAGCGCCATCGCTCATCATCAGGCGACTGACGGGTGTTAAACGACCATTGTTCGTCATCTGTCTCCATTGGGCTGAGGCAGCCTGCTTACTTGTGGAGGAAGCCCTCATGGCAGCTGTCCCCGATGTCGTCATCGTTTAGCACGGTGTCTCTAATCTGCTTCGCAGGAAACAAACCGTCCAGATCAGAGAAAACCTGATTTAAATGCTAGAAAATAAAACCAAGCAGCAGATCTCAGCTTACGTCTATTTCCTCAGGCACGCAGTGAGACTTCATGGAGGCCAGCAGCTCCATGATGGGGGCAATCTCCAGGCTCAGCACTGAGATGATGTTGTAGCCCTGATTGTTAGAGGGAGCAAGAAACCATGAGCTTCACACAGCAACCTGGTTCTGACCCGGTTTATGGACGATGGAGAGAAACTTAACATCGACTCAGAGACAAGTAACATGGTACTGAGCTGAAGTTGACGCTAAAGCGCTAAAGCAGCACAGTATTTACAGGCAGCTAGCACTATAGCTCTCTCCAAACCTTCTGCATCCAGATGCGTCCCTTGCGAATGCCGTGTGTGAGCCGCTCCACGCAGGCGGCGTGCAGCGGCAGGTAGAAGGCCAGCTCGGTCTGCGGCAGGATGACGGACAGGGCGCACGTGTTCTTGTCACCCTTCAGCTCGCCGTCAAAGATCAAAGACACGATGATGACACCTTTCTCTGCCAGGACGAAGAACTTGACGTCCACGGCGCCGCACTCGGCGCTGCGCAGGATCTCTCCGTTCAGCGTGTGGTTGGCCAGGAAGGTGACCTCGCCGTCGCTCAGCGCCATCGGCTGCTCGCCGCGCGGCGCCCACATGTGCCGCACGCGCGGCCCCAGGATGTTGTCCCAGTAGGCGAAGGTGGCGGCCAGCAGGGGGCACTCTCCCTCCACCGCTACCTCCGTCTTCGCTACGGCCGGGGACTGGGGGCGACAGCCGGAGGACATTGGACCGGCCCGGAGACGTCTCCCTCTAATTTAGCTACAGCATTAACAGAAATGAAGATTATAAAATCAGTGGGACGCAGCAGACATGTCCACATGACCAAACGTCTCCGTCCTCTGAGACAGGTGTCAGAGCTCAGTTCAAACTTCAACATGGATGGAAAAAAAGATGGATGAAAAGATGGACAGATGGTCAAAAAAGATGGACAAATTGTTGGTTGGACAGATCTGTCTGTCCCACCATCTGTCAGATCTGCCCATATTTGTCCCAACCAGTAAAATCTGGGCCTCCAGATGGACGTCCTGCAGAAGGAGGAGACGCTCAGGATGTTGGACAGACGATGTGGGAGGAGGACGGAGGAGATAGAGGGGGACAGAAGAGGAGATAGAGGAGGACGGAGGATATAGAGGGGGACAGAGGAGGAGATAGAGGAGGAGAAAGAGGGGGAGGAGCTTCTTGGAGGTGTTGGTGACGTCAGAGGAAGGTCTGGGATGGGGACCGAAATGAAAGCAGCTCCCAGAGGAACTGAAAGTGAGCAGAGAGAACTTCTTGCAGCCAGCTGAGCCGGAACCAGAGTCCATGAAGAAAACCAGAACTTCCCGGTTCTGCTGATCATTAGACGGAGTATTTTCTACACAGTTCGGTTCCTGTGCTGACATGATCTGCATCATCCCGACAGATTAAAATCACAGATTATGGATGGAAAATATGAGTCCGCTGAGGCGGAACATTTTGGATTTAATCCTTTAAATTAGCTTCAATTTAAATGGATCTTAAACACGTGACCTGAGTACTGATGAGCGTAAAAACGGTCAAAATGAGAGTTATGGCAACAGGCTAACAAGTAATGGATCACATGGTTCTGACTCACCTTTCCTGTCGTTTCCGAACCGAACCGCCGAACTGCAGCTGGGTCCAGCTCCTCCTGGTAACCTCCAGTTTAACGGAGGTTAGCTGCCTGCTGGTTTGTTGTGCTGTTTTCACTCTTCCTTGTACGTCACATGACGTCAGCGTCCAGGCGGCGCAGCGGCCTCTGCTGGTCGAGGCAAGGCGGTGCACCGGGAGAGATGATGTCATTTTTAGAAACAGTTCCCGGACCATAAATAACTAAAAATCTAAATAAATGGGTTTAAATGCCACAGAACTGGACGGGTTCGCCTTTAGGTTTCATCTCCTGCTGGTGCAGTTCAGTTTAAAACCATTTATGCTGTTAGTGACGGTACGTCAGATTCACCAGAAACATGAACAAAAGGCTCCGGACGGAACCAATGAAACCAGTCCACTGGTTTCTACTTTCCCTTTGGGAAGCAGCGGGAGTGCACTGACTTTTTTACACAGCCTTTCCATGCCTCTCCAGTTTGGATAAAAGCTGCTCCACATCAGCAGGCAGGAGGAAACAAACACTGATCATGTGACCAGTGGGTGGAGACTGCTCTCCTCTCACCTGTCTACCTGCTGCTGGCTTTAGGCTCATCAGTGATTCTGAGTCTGGATTTCTCAGATTATGTAGCATGATGACACCTGTTAGGGTTTAGGGGTTAGAGGTTAGGGTAACCTTTGGCCCGGCTGCTCACCTGGTTCTGCTCCAGTTGTTGCAGTAATCTCACCTGGTGTCTGAGCCCAGGTTGTCTGTCCTCATCAGCTCATCTTCTGGCTGCAGCAGCAGAATCTCACAGGAACCCAGAAACGGACGGGCTGCTGCGTTTGGGTCGTCGGTCCTCCGGTCCAGTCCTTCCTTCCTGGTGCACAGCGATTCTCCCAGCGGGACGGTTAGATCAGCTGCAGCAGATGATCGATCCTCTGGTCTACCCAGCGACTGCTGGCTGCCTTATTGACCCAACCTGAGTTTGGGCCAACAGGTAGCAGCAGGACGAGTTCTGGAAATCTCGGCTCAAACTCAAGACATTTTCTGATTCAGCCACAGAAGATGTTGGAAGACGGAAATGCTTCTGATAATGTCAGATCAAACCCAGACAGGACGAGGTTCTGGAAGAAAACGTGACCAGTGACTGTCAGGAAACAGAAACGGGTCGGTCAGTGAAAACCACATCCTGCTGATTTATCCTGGACTTTCAGGCCGTCTGACAGAAAGTGATGAATCTTATGAATTATTGTTCTTAATAACTTCCAGTACCTTCACAGGGAGAGCAAACGAAGACATGTAAAAGGTTTGTGAGTATTTTACAGACTGTGATGTTTTGGGTGATATTTCAGAAGCAGAATATGAGTCTGTGACCACATGCTCCCCTCCGGTCAGAGTAAAATCACATTCAGCTCACATAACAACATCCACACCACATTTCCTCTCATATCTCCTGATTCCTCCTCCATTCCCTCCCAGTGAATCAAATCTGCAGAGTTTCTCCCCTGCAGCCGCCTGAAACCCCAAACCAACCGAGCTGCAGTCGCCGCTCCGCAGCCCGACCAGCCAGGCGATGAATGGACTGACGCCAAAATAAAAACAGATAAACCTTCCAAGGTCAGTGAGCGTCCGCAGTGTCCAGCCTCCGGCCCGCTGCTGATGTGGTTTCACTCAGAGCCGCCGTCCTTCACTGGAACCAGCACTTTATGTTTTCACAGCCAGACTTTTCTCACGGCCCGTTTGGACACAAATCTGAGGTTTTCCTCTCCTACCCACTGCTATAAATACCGTAGTCACTCTGCTCTGAAGAAAACTCTCTGAGGTCAGGCAGACTGAAGGATTTCTTCTCCAGGTTCTTCTTCAGTGTCCAGAGTTTCTCCACTTCCTTATTCATTTCCGTCTCTTCAGCAGAAGACATGTAACCATGCTGTAAGCTAAAACACAACATGCTTTGTGCTGCTGCCCTTCCTGGTGCTCCCAGAACGTTTTGGTGTCAGTCTGGAGTTTGATCCCTTCTTAGATTCACAGGAACCTGCAAGTGATTTTCTGGCAGCGGTGTAACTTTTGATGAGCAGCTCAATGCAGTGTTTCCCAGCCTGGTCCTTCAGGCTCACTGCCCTGCATGTTTTAGGTATTTCCTTGCTTTAGACCAGGTGATTTCAATCGATGACTGATTAACAGGCGTTTGCTGAACGGCAATCAGTTGAACCAGGCACATTAAAGCAGGGAAACCTCATGTAGGACAGTGGGCCTTGAGGACCAGGGCTGGGAAACACTAAGCTAGCTCTCCACCAGCCCAGTCCACTTCAGCCCGACTCCAGTCCACCTGCCTAGTCAAAGTCCGGTTCAGTTGGTGAGGTGTGAACGCTAGCCGACCTCTGACCTCTGGTCCTACAAACCTCGGTCTGGGTTTGGTTTGAATGTGAACGCCAAACGGACCGGCTAACTACTGTTAGCAATTCCAGCTAACTATAATGTTTTCACTGCTTTTCCAATCAAACATGGCCGCTTCATGCTCAGGTCAGTTTAGTTACTTTAACTATGGAAGATTTTAAAACTTGAGTAACTCAGCAGTTTTTTCCTGCTTTTGGAGAAACCTGCGACTTTCCCTCTTCAGATTCCAACGTTTAGAGATTTTTCTGTTCATCTTTTTAAATTCAAACTTGATGACAAATAATCTTAATTTATTGTATTTACTTGACCCCTGACCTTTTCCAATGGTGATCTAGTTTAGCTCAGTTTATCTAGCTTAAATTAGCTAATTTTATCTTTGCTTAGTTTAGCTTAGCTCATCTCTTAGCATATCATTTCTTAGCCTTAATGCCTGAACGTTTTTTTTTTTTTATCTGAGTTTATCTGAAACTAACTCATATTATATTTACTTAGTTTACTCTGGCTTAATCCTTGCTTTGGCAAAGTTTAGCTTTCCAAGGTTTATCATATTCCAGATTATTTTAGTTTATCTGAAATTAGCCCAGATTATCTTATTTTAGCTTATACCTTAGCGTATCGTAGTTTAGCCTTCTGAGGTTTGCTGTGTTTCAGTTTAGCTTATAGTAACATCTCCTCCACTTGGGTTAGCTTGGCTAACACTTTAGCTTAGCTTCGTAAAATCTTGATGTCTCAGTGTAGCGGACCTAATTTTATTTGATCAGTTTTATTTTCAGTTTATTTATTTTATAGCGTAGCTCAGCTGATCAGGAGAACTGTTCTAATATCTTCATGTTTTTATTGTTTACAGCTTTATTTCCATTTAATCTGGAGTAAAGAGTCAGACAGGAAACTGGATTTATTTTCTCTGCCTGCCAAACTCTTCCTCAGTCATTTTCAGCCTCATCATTTATTTCATAAAGTGACAGAAGCTCCCGGTCGCTGCCACACGACGGTTATTTTAAACTGCCGTGTTTCTATTTCCATTCGATTCATGATCCGTCTAACAGAGCTGACGCTGTTAGACGGATCACCTCTGGAAACGAGTGGGAGGCGATTCTGCCTCTGAGGCTGTTTCACCTTTCAGGCCAATTTATGGAGCGAAGGACGGAAACGTTAAAATGGCAGCAAAGATTCACATCATGAAACGTTTCGCAGCTTTCAGCAGCTGATCAGGACCGGACTCCACAGACATGATAACGATGTGATGGTGGATTCAACCTGACTAACATCAGACTATTAAAATACATTTATATAAATGCTGTATCTTTATTTCTCAGGATTTAACAGAAACTAAGTGTTTTAGAGAGAAAAATTTACTGAATTGTTTTGATCAGATTTTTTTTACCGTCATGACTTTGGATATTATTTATAAACTTTGAAGCTTCTGGGCTTTTGGGTAAATATGTATCTTTTAGTCCTGATGTTTCTGCTGTAAAACCACCACCAGGGTTCAGACACGGCAGTGGCACTGTGATGGTCTGGGCTGCTTTGTGGCATCAGAACCGGAACGACTTGCTGTCAGAACCGCAAATCCAGAAGGTTCTGGAGGAAACCGTCAGTTTGTGGCTCAACTGCTGCAGATTTTGACCTGATGGGACCGAATCTAAGCAGCGGCGCTAACGCCACCAAATACAGAAAATAACCTGCCGATAAAATCAGGCAGGAAATCAAAATGCAAGAGGCTGACGGCAGTTCAGACAGACGGACATTCAGCAGAGCGTTCCTGGTTCCAGACAGGAAAACTCCATAATTCATGAAACCAGAACAAACAAACATACGTGCAAAGGCAAAGAGATGCTAATGTCAGGAAGCAAAGCTGCAGCACAAAGCGGCACAAACTGACTGGCTGCACTTTCTGCAGGAATGAGAAAACAATCACTTAAAACGTGATGAAAATGTCTGTGCAGTGAGAACCTGAAACCAAGAGACTTTATTAAACGAGTAACGAATATTCAGGTCTTAATAAACCGTTTCCAGACGATCCATCAGGTTGCAAACACCTCATGAATTATTAATGCAGCTAATTGGGGATTTTAAGTAGAAAGAGCCAAATTGGCAGGCTGAGCGTTTCTGCTGAGAGGTTACAGAGTCTGAGCTTGTCTTCATTACCATCACGGCTCCTGCAGGGCAGCAGGCGGCAGAGAGACAGAGCGGCTGCAGCAGCTCAGAAAGTCCAGAGCTGCAGCGTGAAGCATGCTGCTGCTGCTGCTGCAGGCTGCTGCTGCTGCTGCTGCTGCTGCTGCGGCTGCTGCTGCTGCTGCGGCTGCTGCTGCAGGCTGCTGCTGCTGCTGCTGCTGCTGCTGCTGCTGCAGGCTGCTGCTGCTGCTGCAGGCTGCTGCTGCTGCTGCTGCTGCTGCTGCTGCTGCGGCTGCTGCTGCTGCTGCGGCTGCTGCTGCTGCTGCGGCTGCTGCTGCTGCTGCTGCTGCTGCTGTTGCTGCGGCTGCTGCAGCCGCCTGCTGCTCCGGCGGCTGCTGCGGCTGCGCGCGTTGC